GGGGGGGGGGGGAGGCGAGAGGAGGATACGCTGCGCGCCCCTACTTCTCTAGGGGTTCCATTGTAATATTTATTGATTGGATTCCTAGGAGCCCAGGCTGTGAGGGCTGTGGCACCTCTCTATGCTCGGACTAGATTGCGTACGAACGCGAGCGACGTCCGCGACGATCGAGCTTTTTCTCCTCGCTCTTTCCTTCCTTCTTCACCCTTTGCCGCCCCCTTCCGCCCTTTTCCCGCGCGTATCTTATTGACGTTTTCCTCTCTCTCTCTCTCTCTCTCGCCCTTTGCCACGCGTATCCGGCTGTTCGAATACACGAAATTTTATCTACGCGCGAGCTTCTCGCGCACGCGGTTTCGTATCTCTCATTGTAACTTTCACCGGGAATATCTCTTCGTACGACCGATTTACGCGAATCTCGTTACGATCAATTCGCCGGCGAGCTATTTCGCGACAAGGAACGTCCTGAATACTATTCTGACCGTCCTGCCAGGCTCGCTGGTACTCGATTTTTAACGGCCGGCGCTCGATCGCACGAGTTATTTACATTGCAAATACAAAACCCGCCAGGGTCGTAGTATTATCGTTTCTCAACGACGAGAAGTACGAGATGTGCATATGTAGGAACGACGCGACTTTCACCGACCTTCCGTATAATAATGGTTTTGCATATACATAGAACGACTAGTCCGATCACGTGACGCTGCGCTTCGCTTGCAGGCTCTCGCGTTCGCATCAGCAGAGGAGAAGCAGCAGGTGTCCAAAAGCAGAGGTGACCACACCGCGGCAGAGAGAGAGAAAGAGAGAGGGGGGAGGGAGAGGGGGGGGGGGTAGAGGAGAACGAGACGAAGGTGGAGAGAACATGCGCGTGCGAACTGTGTTTCGGAACTGGTAATCCTTGATCTTACGTGACGTAATAAATCCTCGCCGAATACGGGAGTTGCGTTAAATGCAGAACATCTCGCGGCCGAGCCTCGAAGACACGATCGGGCCAAGATTTACAACCGCGCGTAATTGATTTTAATGAACGCCGCTCGCAGATTTGGCGGAATCTCAAGGATGTTTTCAAAAGTGAACGCATACGAGAGAGCACGGACGGGGGTCTGAGCGAGAGCTTACGAATTATCATTGCGACCGCGCGTAATTGATCAGCTCCTTGTGGAAATTCGGTAGATCGTATATCGGCGGGCGCGGGAAGGCATTCGAAAAACGAACCGGGCGAGTCGAGATTTTGCGGTAAAAATAAGAAGCTCCGTTTTTCCTTCTCCCTCTTCTCTCTCTCTCTCTCTCTCTCGAAATCCGACAGCTTGTTGAACAAATGAGACCTTACGAAATATACATGGAAATGTAACCGTCGAACTAACTAAATTCTTAATGCACAATGATTTGCGCCGAACGTCCGCCGAATGTTCAAACAGGTAACAGATCGCGCGATAAAATCTGCATACCTCCGTCGCCACAATTTATTCACCTGTACGCTCGAATAGACCGCACGCTAGTCAACCAAATCCGCTAGTCACAGATATACAAAAACAACGAGCGAAATTCTCACTCCCGTGGTGCTTTATTCTCGGGAGTGTGCCGCTAAATAAAAGACACCTCGCGATACGTACTCGCGATCGATAATTCTAACGTGTCAGTTTTGAGCCCGGCTGAAAGCTACGTACTACTCCGACCGCTAACCTAAGAGAGCGGTCTTTGTGAGTGAGATCGCAGACGGATGGATCGCACAAGTCGCGAGCAGAAGCGCGTCCGCCAGCATGCAATCGTCCGAACCGACCTTCCTTACACACCCTATCTCCTTCGTACGCACGAACGGCTCCCTACCGTTCCCGTTCATCCGCGTTTAGCCGCTTGCTCGCCGCGGCTGCGTCGCGCCTACGGCAGCGCGTATTTTTCCCGGCTTGTTTTCGCGAGGAAGAGCGAGGGACGCGCGATCGCACCGTTCGAAATGACACACGTCGAACGTCGCAAGAACAGAAATGCAGCGACTTTATTCAAGCAGCATCGGCAACGTTATCGCCGCTTATAGTCGCGCCGATTCTGACACGGCGTTCTCCGTTTTAGAATAGAAACTATTCTCGCGCCTGACCTCCTTTCTGGGTTGAAAATCATCTAAATAACGCGTTACCAAAATATGACATTGTCCCTGTGCATTCGATTTCCGATGACCCGTATAACATCGTGAACGGGGAACGTACATGCATTGATGATTCGTTGATGAGGGAGAAGTGAGGGTGTACGGGAGAAATACAAGACGACGCTATCCCCGATTCAAGGATCCGCCCGAAACGACCGGTTCCGTACTTTTGGACTCGCTCACTCATCACCATCTTCACGAGCAAACGACGAGCAAAACGCATCTACGATTAGACAGCGACTGGCGTGCGTTTAATTATCCGTGCGGCGATTCATCGAAGCGCTGGTACGAAGCAGCA